TGGTGGTTTAAAAAGTGAGATGCAAAGGAAAACTTGAGAATAATATATTTTAGCAACATTAGTTAAAAAATAAAAATGTTATTTCATGGAGATTTAATAGAAAAACAATAACCTATCTTTTTGTGTGACAAATCTTCAAACACATATTAAAGCACATTGCCCTGGTGTATTAATGGACCTTCAGTGGGAGCTGGCCAGTGTAGGAGCAGGGACATCAATCACGGTAGTTCATCCTGCCCAGTCATGCTGGGATGAATGACAGGAAAGCAATCGACAGATAGCTGCAGTGTGGCTAAGTAGCTGTGAGTATTGAAACGTGGTAGGAGAACAACTGAGATAGTTAGCTGTGTAAAGAATGAACTTTTAGTCAGAAGAAAAACAGTGAATTAACTCCCACCTAGGTCAAGAGATAAAATGCTGTTGTATTCTGGATGCCCTTGTGTGTTCCTGTCAGATCACACCCCTCTTCTTCCTGGCTGAATTCCATGTTTGATCACATTACTTCTTCATAGTTTTATCCTCTATGTTGCATTTAAACTACTATATTGTTCTTTTTTTCCTATTTTTATGCTTTATGCAAATGGAATCCTAGCTTGGGATTCATCTTTGGCTTACTCCAGTGTCTCGGTATTAGATTTCATTTTTTTTGTTTTAAGATTTTTTCGTGTTACTATTTATTTATTTTTTCTAGATTCAGGGGTACATGTTCAGGTTTGTTACATGGATATGTAACAGATAAATACCTATGATTCCATTTGTATAAAGCTTAAAAACATAAAAAATGAACAATGTGTTAGTTAAAATACAACATTGAGGATAAAACTATGAAGAAGTAAGGTGATAAAACGTAAAACACAAAATTCAGCCGATATACAGGATATATTGCATGACGGTGACGTTTGGGCTTCTAGTGTACCCATCACCTAAATAGTGAACATTGTACCCAATAGGTACTTTTTTTAGCCCTCTCCTCTCTCCTCCCCCTTTGGAGTCCCCAGTGTCTATTATTATTATTGGATTTTCAAGATTCATCCTTGTGGATGCATGCTGTTCCACGTGTTTCATTTTCACCTCTGCGTATTCCAGTGTATGAACACACTACCACTTAACTATCTGTTCTACTATTGATTGACATTTCTGTTGTTTCCTGTTTCTTTGGTGTTACTAACAATGAAGTTACAAATACATGTACACGTGCATGAGTGTCCCCAGGAAATTTATCTGGTATTGGAAATACTGGGTCACCCCAGATATGCTTTTGAATAAGTGTGTTCCAAACTGATTGTAATGACTGCAGCAATGTATGCTTTCCTCAGCTGTGTAGGAGAGTTCCTATTGCTTCAAATTCTTGCCAGTACTTATTTCTCTACTACATTTGTAATGTGACTGTAGGCTTCAGAGTCATAATGAACCTGGTTTCGAATTCAGGTCATGGTTTGTGATGCTAGGCTAATAATCTCTGCTTGCCAAGTTCTTGTAATGATTATGTAATGCAATGTATTAAGAGATGCCTCTGTTAGTCTATTTGGGCTGCTATACCAACATGCCATAGACTAGGTAGCTTATAAAAAACACAAATTTATGTTGCACGGTTCTGGAGGCTGAGAAGTCCAAGATTAAGTCACCAGCAGATTTGGTGTCTCATGAAGGCCTGTGTTCTGGCTCACAGATGGCACCTTCTTGTGTCCTCACATAGCAGAAGGGGTGAGGGGTCTCTCAGGCTTCTTTTATAAGGCACCAGTCCTATTCATGAAGGCCTTTATGACTCAATCACCTCATTGAAAGCCTTGCTGCTGCTGCTGCTGCTGCTGCTGCTGCTGCTGCTGCTTCTTCTTCTTCTTCTTCTTCTTCTTCTTCTTCTTCTTCTTCTTCTTCTTCTTCTTCTTCTTCTTCTTCTTCTTCTTCTTTTCTTCTTCTTCTTCTCTTCCCTTCTTCCTTCTTCCTTCTTTCTTCTTTCTTCTTTCTTCTTTCTTTTTCCTCTTCTTCTTCTTCTTCTTCTTCTTCTTCTTCTTCTTCTTCTTCTTCTTCTTCTTCTTCTTCTTCTTCTTCTTCTTCTTCTTCTTCTTCTTCTTCTTTTTGAGATGGAGTCTTGCTCTGTCACCCAGGCTGGAGTGCAGTGACATGATCTTGGCTCACTGCAACCTCCCGCTCCTGGGTTCAAGTGATTCTCCTGCCTCAGCCTCCCAGGTAGCTGGGACCACAGGTACCTGCCACCATGCCTGACTAAATTTGTATTTTTAGTGGAGATGGAGTTTTGCCATGTTGGCCAGGCTGGTCACCATCACCTTGGGGGTGAGAATTTCAATACGTGAATGTGATGAATGCATATTCCATATGATACATATACATGCATACATATGGGTGAACTGAGGAACAGAACACTTCAATATGTGCCTGGGAATATTCTTTTTGTTGGGTTAAGAACAGGAATATTAAGGTATGTAGAATTAGTTATCTTTTTTTTTTTTTTTTTTTGTATTTTTAGTAGAAACAGGGTTTCACCATGTTGGCCAGACTGGTCTCGAATTCCTGACCTCAGGAAATCTGCCCATCTCAGCCTCCCAAAGTGCTGGGCACCCAGCCACAAGGTTTTTTTTTTTTTAAACACGTGGTAAGGTCATGTCTATGAAGCATAAGTTAGTGTGGCTCAAACCTGTCCAATTTCACTTCTGAACAGCCTGGAAACTTCTGAGTCTTTTTAAATTTTTTTTCTGAGACAGAGTTTCACTCTGTCACCTAGGATGGAGTGCAGTGGCATGATCTCAGCTCACGGCAACCTGTGCCTCCAAGGTTCAGGTGATTCTCCTGCCTCAGCCTCCTGAGTAGCTGGGAATACAGGCATGCACCACCATGCCTGGATAATTTTTTATATTTTTATTAGAGACGGGTTTTCACCATGTTGGCCAGGCTGGTCTCGAACTCCTGACCTCAAGTGATCCGCCGGTCTTGGCCTCCCAAAGTGCTGGGATTACAGGCGTGAGCCACCACGCCCAGCCTAGTTACCTTTTTTGATTGAAAAAGAATTTAGTCCAGGAAAATTTAGTTCTGGCTTTCCTTAAATGCAGACAGGGATATCTTTCAGTTCCTGACAGTTTTTTTTTAAAGGGCATCTGTGGTGAATTAAAGATGGCCTCAAGTTATTTAAAATTCCCGCCATTGAGAGGCCCATTTCTTCTCCCTTTGAATCTAAGCTGGCCTGGATTACTTTGATCAGCAGAGTACAACAGAAGTGACGTGATGCCAGTAGTGAGCCTGAATTTTAAGAGGTCTGACAGCTTCCTCTGTTCTTGGCACCTGATCTTTAGTCAGCCATCAGATAAGAAGTCTAACTACTCTGCTGAAGTAAACATGTGGAGAGACCCTGATATTGCATAGTGAGGGAGAGGGGCTCAGCAGAACCCAGCCTTTTGCAATCTCTGCAGAGACATCAGGTACATGAAAGAAGCATCATGGACACTCTGGCCCAGCCCAGCCACCAGCTGAATAGCACGAGTGACCCCAGTTGATGAGACATGGAGCAGAAGAATCACCGAGTTGAGCCCTTCTCAAATTTGTGACTTGTAAAATAATGAAACAAAGTGGATGCTGTTTTAAGGCACTACATTTTATAGTAGCTGTTACACAGTTACATAGCTAGAAGGGCAGGTTTTCAGGCAATGGTGGCTGGGATGGCACAATGCCCCATAATTCTGCTCCTGGCTCAAGTGTATTCTCATGTCTAACTCTAGAAATGGAGATCCCTTGTATTTACAAGGACCAATAGCCATTCTAGCAGTGACTTGTGGGTTTTATTCATACCTTGAGAACTTAAGAACTGCAGTATTTGGCGGACACAGATGATCTTTCCAACTCAGCCTGGGAAGTAGTGCCAATGGATACATAGTAAAAAGCTTAGATGACTTCCATGATGTCAGCCTCAGAATGTTTAGGATTTTTTTTTCTCAAACACCCTATCTTACTTTAATTATATTTTATTATTTGGTAGTTAAACCCTGCATGGGCATTTTCCTGTTTTTAGCTAAAATGTTCTTATAGAGTAGTACTTCCTTTCACTGAGATAAAAACTACATCTTTTAAGCTTTGAGTTGCATCCTCTAGGTCTGGGATATTAGGATGTAGTGAAAAAGTCTATATTACCATATTTACATTTCTATGAATTTACAGCCTTCAAATCCCCAAAATTGCCATATTTTGGTCTCTTGTTGTCATAGATTTTCATTGGCTTTCTAATACTTTCTAGTAAAATAATTGGTTTTACTTCTCTAATTTTTCTTTAATTTTTAATATGTATTTTTTTGAGGCTTGGCAATTAATGTATGGGATGGAATAATTTTGTGTTCCATGTTCTGTCTGATCCTAGCATTCTGTTGGGTTTATGATTCACAGGAGCCTGTTGGACTGATGTGGTGACCCTCTCCCTTCCCACTGATCATGGATATTCCCAAAATATTTCTCATTGGCAGGGATCCTACAAGTCTACATAACCCTTTCTTTTCCCCAGGGGTTTGAATACTGTCTTTTAAAGACTCAGTTTTTGCATTGGGACCCAGTTCAAATAGCACAGAACCAGATTAGTTCAGCACCATAAACCTGTATCCATCAGACTTTGAGTGTCACCTCTGCCGGGTGATACCTGCTGAACTTGCCACCCAATCAAATTAAATCCTCTGGAGAGACCCTCGGCATGGAATAGATGAGCACCCCTGGTGATTCTGCTGTCTAACCCATTCCCTTGATCTAAAAAAACACTTTTAGAGAGCCTAGTTTCAACTTATTTTTACTTCCTTATGGACCATGTAGTTGAGTCCAGGGTGATTCCAAAGCTCATCTAAGTGAAGATAGATTTTTTTTTTCCCCCAGAAAACTAAAAAGCAAACAGTCAATCCATTATTATGGAAATGTTCAAACATACACTGTTTTAGTCTTAGTCTGTTTTCTGCTGCTTATAACAGAATACCTGAAAGTGAGTAATTGATATAAAAAAAGAATTTATTTCTTACAGTTACGGAGGCTGAGAAGTCCAAGTTCAGGGGAGCCACGTCTGGTGAGGGTCTTCTTGTTGACTGGGACTTTCTAGAGTCTGGAGGCTGCACAAGTTATCACATGGCAAGGAGGTTGAGCATGCTGACATGCTAGCTCAGGTCTCTCCTCTTCTTCTTATAAAGCCACCAGTTCCTCTCCCATGATAACCCATTGATCCATTAACCCGTTAATCCATCAATTCCATTACCTTTCAATAGCCCCACTTCTCAATACTGTGCCACATTGGGGATTGTTTCAACATGAGTTTTGGAGGGGACAAATATTCAAACCTTAGCATACACAAAATAAAGAGAATAGAAAAGTAAATGTCATGTACCCATCACTCAGCTTTAACAATTATCAGTATATATCTAATCTTACTTCATCCATGTTCCTAGCCACTCCCACCCCTAACTTCTCCCCACAACCCCACTGAATTATTTGAAGCAATCCAAGATATCCTATAACTTCATTTATAAATACTTCAGTATTACCTCTAAAAGATAACAAATTCTTTTTTAACCAGAATACTATATCATGTCTATAATACTTATTAATATTTTCAGGAAACAGTTTAAAGTATTCCAATAAAATAACTTGAGCTCCTATAATAGTATTAATGTAGGCTTAAATGACTTTTCCTAAAATGCATTACCTATCTTTATGCACTCAGTATGAAATCATCCAGCAATTCATCTTCATCCACTTGACATACACTATTGAAGGAAGTTTAAAACTTATCTACAAACTCTGCTTTCTACACAGTCACCTTTCTTTATATTAGCATTAAATAAGATCAATTTGAGCACTAATCTCTAGGAGAAGAAATGTTCTTGACACATCTCCACCCAGGGAAAGTTGTACTCAGTATTTACCCTGTCATCTCCCATCCTTATAAAGCCAATTCCCCATCCACATCAAAACATTCGCATCAGAATATTTCTTTCATCCCCTATTTAAAAAAATAAAAGAGAAACTATTATTATCTAGAGGATTTTCAATCAGCTTTACTGAGGTATAATTTACATACAATAAAATCCACCTATTTGATGTGGACAGTTCAATGAGCTTTGAAAAATATGTGCAATCATGTAACAGCCACTACTATGAAGATATAGAATAATTATATCATTCCAAAGAGTTCTCACATATGTCCACCAATACTCTACAGCGTGGCCTATGGTAATGTCCTGTCTGCTTTGTATCACTATAGTTTTGCTATTTCTAGGATTTCATGGAAATGAAATATTTTGTGTCTGGCTTCTTTCACTTAGCCTAATATTTTTTAAGTTCATTCCTGTATCAGTAGTTTGTTCCTTTTTATTGCAGAGTAGTATTGCATTCTATGAATATACCACAATTTGTCTATCCATTCATCAGTTGATGAACACCTGTGTTTGGGTTGTTTCCAGTTTTGGGCTATTATGACTATATCTCCTATGAACATTTGAATATAAGTCTTTGTGTAGATCTATGTTTTCATTTTTCTTGGGTAAATACTTAGGAGTGGAAGTACTGAGTCATATCGTAAGGATATAGTTAACTTTATAAGAATCTGCCAAATTGTTTTCCATAGTAGCTGAACCAATTTGCATTCCCACCAGAAAAGTATGAAAGTTCCAGTCTCTCCATATCCTTGACAATTGTCAATATTTAATTTTAACCATTCTAAGGATTTTGTGTTAGTATCTCATGATTTTCCAATTAGTAATTATGTTGAACATCTTTTCAGATACTTATTTATGTATCTTTTATAAACTTTGTATTGTATCTTTTGCTTATTTAAAAAATCCGATTGTTCATCTTCTTATTGTTGAGCTATAAATTATTTTTCTTCTGGACACAGTCCCTTATCAAATATAAGTATTATGAATATTTCCCTAAGTTTGTGGCTTATCTTTTCATTTACCAAACAGTTATTTTTGAAAAGTAAAAATTTTAAATTTTGACGGAGTTCAGTTCATCAGCTTTTTCTTTTAGAATTTGTATTTTTGTGTTGTATTAAAAAAATCTTTGCCTAACCCAAGATCAATAAGATTTTGTTTGTTATTTTTTTAATTTTTGTGGGTACATGGTAGATATATATATTTACAGAATATGTGAGGGGTTTTTGGACTTTTTTTTTTTCTTTTGGTGGAGAACAGCGTTTTGCTATATTGTCCAGGCAGGTTTAGAACTCCTGGACTCAAGCTGTCTTCCTGCCTCTGCCTCCCTAAGTGCTGAGATTACAGACGTGAGCCATTATGCCTGACTACATGAGATATTTTGAAACAGGCATACAATGAGTCATAATTGCATCAGGGTAAATGGTATATCCATCACCTCAAGCATTTATCATTTACTTGTGTTACAAACAATCCAGTTATACTCTTTTAGTTGTTTTTTAATGTACAATAAATTATTGTTGATGGGTCATTCTGTTGTGCTATCAAATACTAGATCTTCTTCATTCTATGTATATTTTTATACCTATTAATAATCCCTCTCCCACTATCCTTCCCAGCCTCTAGTAACTATCATTCTGCTTTCTATCTCCATGAGTTCAATTGTTTTAAATTTTAGCTCCTGCAAATAAGTGAGAGCATGAGAAGTTTGTCTTTCTGTGCATGGCTTATTACACTTAACATAATGACCTGTAGCTCCATCCATGTTGTTGCAAATGACAGGATCTTCTCATTTTTATGGCTGACTAGTACTCCATTGTGTATATGCACCACATTTTCTTTGTCCATTTGTCTGTTAATGGATACTTAGGTTGCCTCCAAATCTTGGCTATTGTGAATAGTGCTGGAATAAACACTATCTCTTTGATATACTGATTTCGTTTCTTTTGGGTATATACCCAGAAGTGGGATTCCTGGATCATTTGATAGCTCAATTTTTAGTTTTTATGAGGAGCCTCCAAACTGTTCTTCGTAGTTGTTGTACTAATTTACATTCCCACCAAAAGGGTTCCCTTTTCTCCACATCTTCTCCAGTATTTGTTATTGCCTGTCTTTCGGATAAAAGCCATTTAACTGGGGTGAGATGAGATCTCACTGTAGTTTTGATTTACATTTCTCTGATGATCAATGATGTTGAGTACCTTTTCATCATATACTTTTTGCCATTTGTATGTCTTCTTTTGATAAATGTCTATTCAAATCTTTTGCCCATTTTTTGATTGGATAATTAGATATTTTTCTGAAAAGCTGTTTAAACTCCTTGTGTATTGTGGTTATTAATCCCTTGTCAGATGGGTAGTTTGCAAATATTTTCTCCCAGTCTGTAAATTGTCTCTTCCCTTTGTTGATTGTATCCTTTGCTGTGCAGAAGCTTTTTAACTTGATGTGATCCCATTTGCCCATTTTTGCTTTGGTTGCCTATCCTTTTGGGGTACTGCTCAGGAAATTTCTGCCAGACCAATTTCTTAGAGATTTTCCCCAATGTTTTATTGTAGTTGTTTCATAGTTTGAGGTCTTAGATTTAAGTCTTTAATCCATTTCAATTTGATTTTTGTGTATGGTAAGAGATAGGGGTCTAGTTTCATTCTTCTGCATATGGATAGCCAGTTTTCCCAGCACTATTTATTGAAGAGATTGTCTTTTCCTCAGTGTATGTTCTTGGGATCTTTGTCAAAAATGAGTTTACTCTAGGTAGGTGGGTTTGTTTCCGGGCTCTGTATTCTGTTCCCCTGGTCTATGTGTCTATTTTTGTGCTAGTACCATGCTGTTTTGGTTACTATAGCTCTGTAGTATAATTTGAAGTCGGGTACTGTGATTCCTCCAGTTTAGTTGTTTTTGCTTAGGAAAACTTTGGCTATTTTGGGTCTTTTGTTATTCTATATGAATTTTAGGTTTGTTTTTTCTATTTATGTGAAGAATGTCATTGGTATTTTGATAGGGATTGCATTGAATCTGTAGATTGCTTTGGGTGGTAATCACATTTTAACAATATCGATTCTTCCAATCCATGATCATGGAATATTTTTCCATTTTTGGTGTCCTCTTCAATGTCTTTCATCAGTGTTTTATAGTTTTTGTTATGAGATCTTTCACTTCTTTGGATTAAGTTAATTCCTAGGTATTTAATTTTTTGTGCGGCTATTGTAAATGGGATTACTTTTAAAATTTCTTTTTCACATTGTTCACTGTTGGCATATATAAACACTATTGATTTTTGTATGTTGATTTTATATCCTAAAACTTTGTTGAATTTATCAGTTCTAATAGTTTTCTTGTGGAAAACTTAGGTTTTTCCAAACATAGTATCATATCATATGCAAACAAAGATAATTTGACTTCTTCTTTTCCGATTTGGAAGGAAAGCAAGTGTGTCTTTATAGCTTTCTCTTGTCTGACTTCTCTAGTGAAGACTTCCAGTACTATGTTGAATAACAATGGTGAAAGTGGGCCTCCTTGTCTTGTCCAGATCTTAGAGGAAAGTCTTTTAGTTTGTTCCCAGTCAGTATGATACTAGCTATGGGTCTGTCATACATCCCTTTTATTTTGGTGAGATGTGTTCCTTCTATACACAGTTTTTGAGGGCTTTATCATAAATATATACTGAATTTTGTTAAATGCTTTTTCAGCATCAGTTGAAATGATTGTGTGGTTTTGTCCTTCATTCTGTTGATATGATGTATCAAAATTGATTTACATATGTTGAACCATCCATGTATTCCTGAAATTAATCCCATTTGGTCATAATGAATGATCCTTTTAATGAGTTGTTGAATTTGGTGTGCTAGTTTTTTGTTGAGAATTTTTGCATCAATGTTCCTCAAAGATATTGGCCTGTAGTTTTCTTTCTTTGATGTGTCTTTCCCTGGTTTTGGTATTAGAGTAATACTCATAGAATGAGTTTGGAAACATTCCTTCCTCCTCTGTTTTTCTGAAATAGTTTGAGTAGAGTTAATATTAGTTCTTCTTTAAATGTTTGGTAGAATTCAGCAGTGAAGCCATTGGGTCCCACGCTTTTCTTTGCTGGGAGACTTTTTATTACAGTTTCAATTTCATTACTTGTTATTGGTCTGTTCAGGTTTTTGATTTCTTCTTAGTTCAATCTTGGAAGGTTGTATGTGTCT